TTTCATACAGCTGAGAACATACCACTACCGCTTCTATTATTAACCCGTCGGTGGTAGAAGTTTCAACTATCGGTTTTCTTCCTCAATAGGACTCGCTATCGGTCCAACCAGCGGTGGAAGCATAACACAGTCGCTTTTATCGCTACAACAGTGAAAATGGCGACAATGATAAGTCAATCTGTAGTAGTGTGGTCACATTCATACAAAAATTCCAATTGGAAATGATCAAAACATTAGTATGGAAACAATTGGATTGATTTAGAGCAATGTACTCCAAACCAGACTAGACTACCAAATATAACTCCAAGGAGAAAATTCTACACATTTCTACTTGTTGGGGTATCTTATACGTTGGGGACCCCTACTACCATGTTCAGGGCCTAATTATATAGTCTATGGCTCACAAAATAATATTAGGAGAGGGGCTATTTGGTAGTCTAGTCTAGCCTAATTTCTACTTTAGTATAATTAATTATTTTCTTTATTTTTTCTATTTTAATTTTTTCTTTTTTACTTTCCTTCTTTGTTTTCTTACTTATGTTCCTTTCTTTTAATTTACTATATGACATTTTTTGTTTTCAAGGTTTTTGTCATTTCATATGTTATCATATACATGTGATGTTCGTGTAATATACATATATTTTTTCATTTTTTATTTCTTATTTAAAATATTCATTTATTTTATTCTTCTAAATATTTATCATTTGTTATTCATGTTTTGTGTGATTTTTTCTTCTTTGTTATTTTTCTCTAATTAATTACTTTAATATTTTTTTTTTTTTATTTTCTATATTATCTCAGATATACATGTGAATATGTGATGTTCTATAATGTATTATGTGATGTTCACGTAATATACATGTGATGTTTTATGATGTCATATGATATTCTATGATATATTTTGTGATATTCACGTCGTATACATTATGTCCCATGATGTATTTTGGCATGTACTTAGAGAAAAAAGAAGAAAGCATAAGCAGTAGGTCCTGCTCAACACAGGCAATTGCAAAAGTATCTAGCAAGAACCAACAATAAGATTTCATAAGTAATCATTGCCCAGTACATTACAAGAACAATGTGGATATGTCAAATATCATCATAGGCACACAAGACTGCAAGGGAAAGGCCTCATATCACAGGCATAAGAAGATTGCAAAGAAAACCTTTATAAAAATAATGGTTAGAAATTTTTTAGAGGCTCCTTAATTGATCAAGATCTTGAAGCATCAATGCATGGAAAATGGCATGACTAGCCTATGATAGAATTATGCGTGGAGGAAAGGTAGACCAACAAAGAAGCAAAGATAATAAGATGAAATTATAATAATGCCCAATTCCTCTACTCCCTTTATTTCAAATTATAAGTCATTTTAACATTATTAGAGAGTCAAGTATCCCAATTTTGATCAAAATTATAGAGAGAATTACAAAGATTTATGATATCAAATAGGTATACTATAAAAATATAATTAATGAAGAATCTAATGGTACTTATTTGATATCGTAAATGCTATTATTTTGTTATATAAATTTGATCAAACTTAAGATGCTTTGACTCTCAAGAAAGTTGAACTTATAATTTGTGATGGAGGGAGTAGACCATAAAGGGATACGAACAATTTCATCATAGGCAAAAGAATAAATGGATCAACAGAGAGGTGAGGGGTAAAAGAGATAGATCTACACAAGAAGAAAATCAGCTCAATGTTGCGGTGAGCGATCTCTGCTACCAGCAGGTCGCCAGCCAAGTTATGCTCGTGCAAACAGAACTTGCCTCCTCTGTGACCAAATCTAGGGGAGAAACTTGAATCTCGCAAAAATAAAGAGGATTCAACTTGAATCCCGCACAAATCAAAGAACACTTCTCAAATCAATTCATCCTTGGTACGCAATAGGAAGACAAGGGGAGGGAGAGGACTAGACCCTCATCAGCAAACGTCGGGAGTGGAGGAACGGAGAGATGAGCGAGAGAGGACGAATAGGAGAGAGCGACGATAGCGGGTATCAGAGAACCGCGTGTAGAACCATAGGGCAACAACACCTGCCATTAGAAGAACGACGCTATGCAAAGACACCCATGATGGCACACCCCAATAATGCATACCTCGATTCACTCTGTGATCAGAACACCTAACAGGTGCTGAAGCAGATACATGGGGAGCAACAGACAAGACAGGAACAACAACCATCACCAGTATGGGGAGCATCAAGATGATGAGATTCAGATTGGTAGAGGAAGAAAGAAGGTAGGCGAAGAAAAGGATGCTGATGCCACACATAAGGAGTGTGAGGCCATCACCATCAGCCACCTTGCGCCAGAAGCCGAAGTTGCCCGTAGTCCTCCCGAACTACGAAACAAGCCCATTGCACAATCATTTATCATCACATAAATAAGCAATGCCTACTGCACAAAATGAGCTAACAAAGACAGTCTTCGGAATCAAAGAGCCATTCAGATATAGTAATACTATGCTGCCAAGGTGTTTTGAAGGCACTGGAAAACACAAAGGATGACTACAGATGAACAGAGGCAGTGAGACATGTGAACCAAAAGAATGGTGTAGCTCAAACATGAGGAAAAACATGAACCTTATTAGTCACGAAACCTACCAAAAGTAAACTAAATGCAGGTAGAATTCGTGAGATACACATAAACATGGTAAAATGTACTCATTCAGTTTTAAAATAAGAAATAGTAATCTCATGCAGAAGTTACTCATAAGAACAAAAAGAAACTCTGCTCATCATACCGGGATGGAGGAAGTAGCTCATATTTTGCCATGTCATTCAAAATTTAGTACAAAGACAAGCTCTTCTGTTTGACACAGCTCCGGCGGCAGCTTCTCCAGAGGATCCAGAGAAGGCCTACCAAACACTCAAGGAAGAGTCATTTTCTAGTGAACAATATAGAACTAAGAGCCGTTTGTAGGCCAGAAACCGGAGCCCAAAAAAGTTGTTCCTCCTCAAGTGATGCAGCTCCTTCGAAAGAGCAGTTAAGGAGAAGCCCTACCAAACAACCCTAGCTCTAAACATCTCGCCATGACTCCCACATCATTTCTTTCTCGTCACTCACATCTCACTACAGGCTAGTAGGAACCTCTTAGCTTGTTAGCTCGAGCCTAGATGAAATATACATCTCACTGCAGGCCAGTAGAAACCTCTTAGCGTGTTAGCTTGAGCCTAGCTGAAAAATAAGAGAGTGCTCTTTTCTTTCCCTCTTCTCTCTCTGTTTGACATAAGCAAAATACAAGGTGATATGTATGAGAGCATCCTCAGCAGTAAGAGATAGTTTATATATAAAAACAATATCTCTAATAATATTAACTTTTAATACATGATTTTAGAGTGTGTACATGAGACTAGCTTTTGGTTAAGAGATAATATTTTTCTCTTTTCTATTAAAATATAAAATAATATATTTAGAGGTAGCTCCACGTGTCAAGTTCTTTGCTTGGCTAGTCTTGGTGAACCGACTCAACACAAGATCAATGCTGAGGAGAAGCACATGGATCTACAAGACAATGCTCTCTGTGTATTGTGCAACAATATGGAGAAGAAAAAACCATTGAACACCTTTTCTTTGATTGCCCCTTGGGCACAGCATGTTGAGCAACTATCCAGATTATTTGGGATGTTTCCCTTGACATTCTATATAGAAATGATCCCATTAAGATACTTCCTCCGTTCTAAATTATAATTTGTTTGATTTTTTTTGACCTCAAGTTTGATCCACTCGTCTTATTCAAAAATTTGTGCAAACATAGTCAAATTTAAGTCATTCTTGAAGAACTTTTGTTAATAAAGCAAGCCACAACAAAAGAAGTGATATTTTGCATAAATTTTTGAATAAAACGAGTGGTCAAATTTAGGGTCAAAAAAATCAAACGAACTTTAATTTGAAACGGATTTAGTAGATTTAGAATCTTAGCTTCTTCGCAGAGGCAGTACTGATAGCTGCTTGGGAAATTTGGAAGCTGCGCAATGGCAAAGTTTTTCAGAGAAGGAATCCTAGTTGTGCCATTTAACTGTCTAACTTGAAAAATCAATGTCTTCTTCAACCGGTTACCTTAGATCATCTTTCATTGTTTGGCTAGATGTTTTCAGTTAGTAAAGTTAGTAACGTTGTGTAAGTACCTTTTCCCCTTTGAATAGAAAATTTAACCCACCGTATAGGGATCGCCCCGACAGTCTTTGCCGTTAAAAAAAAAGTTATTATTGGAGATGCCTGAGCTTTGTAAAATATCGCCGACTGTTGGAGCTTACGTGTACAGCGGAGAGGTCGAGGTGGGCCAACCGACAAGATGGGGAGTGTGGAATAAAGAAGGGCCGGCGCTGTGTTTGGCATTGTTGGCATCAATGGCGTCGTCTTTGTGGTTGTCATCGCCGTCCAACGAGCAACCACCAACCTACTCAATTGACGTGTGCAATTTAAGGATAGATTAGATGCAGTCCAAGCATGGCCATCACGGCGCCGGCCACAATCACGACGGCCGTTAACGGTAAGTAAAACAATCGGCCATCGCCGCCGTCGTCTCTTCCTGAGTTGTTCCGGATCGATCATGCATGTACTACTACTGCTGTGCTGGCAAAAACCGCTACTAGCGATGTGCATGTGAGGTGATCAGGTGAAGAATGCAATGGATCGGATCGGATCGGATCGGATCGGACGACCACTACCCTGCATTTACGCGGTCAAGTTCGTGATGGATATGGATACCTTCCTCTTCCTGTACTGCAGATTACATACGGACTGCAGTGCTCACCGCCCTGTACTGCACACTCTAGCTAGTAGCTGGTTGCCGGTATCTCTCGCTCCATTACTGAGCCCTGCATCATATGCTACCATACGTGTCCCGCCCGCCCGCGCCGCGATCCGTCACAGAACGACGAAAAGGCCGGCCGGCTATAAATGAGCGACAAGGCGAGCCGGGCCTCTTCATCACCCGGCCGGTGCGCGGACACCACAAACACCACCCACTCGATCGATCGACGATAACATGGCGAAGCAGCAGCAGCACGGCATGGCGATGGCGCTGGTGGTAGTGGCGCTGCTACTGGCCGCGGCGGCGGAGACGGCGTCGGCGGCTACGTGCGACGCCGGGCAGCTGACGGTGTGCGCGGCGGCGATCGTGTCCGGCGCGAAGCCCTCCGCGGCGTGCTGCTCCAACCTCAAGGCGCAGCAGGGGTGCTTCTGCCAGTTCGCCAAGAACCCCGCCTACGCGCGCTACATCAGCAGCCCCAACGCGCGCAAGGCCGTCGCCTCCTGCGGCATCTCCCTGCCGCGCTGCTAATTTAAGCCGCGGCCGCCGCCGCCAGCGTGCAGGTCTCATCAGGTGTATGTGTCGCGTCTCTCTCTGTCTCTATAGTCGTCCGTGTCGTGTTGTCCTGTACTACGCGGCTCTCTCGAGCTACGAGGAATAAAGGAGGGGTTATTCGTCCATGCACTTTGGCGTCTGGCTGCTCCGATGTCCGATCCCTGCTTGTGTAACGTGTGTCCATCGATATATTATTATTATATATGCCTCTTTTGTCACAACTTATCAGCGAAGCAGTTTTTTCTCTCCTTCAGCTTCACACTGCTTTGCCGTTAAAGCTAATTAAAACTGTTTCGATGATTCGTCTGACAAAACAGTTCTAACATGATAACCCATCAGAGCAAGTTGAAGCTGGAAAAAGTCACTATTTTCAGCTTCAACCCACACAAATCCCTTATGAGAGCATGTTTTTAAAAATATCTGTTTGGTACAAAACAAATTCAAACGACTCGTAGGCCGGAGTTGATGTCGTCCACTATGCATGCATGCATGCGTGGGTATGACACATACACATGGATGAGGATGATGAGATGACTGCATGACGATACGATCGAGTTTATTCGCGTTCCTCATCACTGGACCGGTTAATTAGCCCGCCGTTTGTCTGTGCAACGATAATAGTACGTGCGTGGCATTTTATTTTATTTTTCCCACGTGTACAACAACAACTAAACTACCTCTCTGCGGCTCTGTCCCAAATAAATTAACTCATAGAGCTGTATTACTAGAGTGTTTGTTCACCTAGAATTCCTTATAATTTAATATAAATTTTGAACTCGGGATTCCTTTAGTTCAGGATGAAGGGAGTAGTCCCTCTGTCCCATTATTAATGTTGTTTTAGCGTTCAACATGAGTCTCAGAAAGAACGTCGTTTGAGATAGCGTACATGTCCTGCACCCTAGTAAAGCAACTGTACTAGGCTTTCACTCTACGACATCTGAGCAATTGCCGGGGTGAAAAAGTTGATGTATCCGCTGGTAATCAACTGTTGTTCCTGTATGCGTTCCTCACTGTATCAACGACGGGACATCTGAGCAGCACATCTCTTGCGAGGCTTGTAGGGGTACACAGGGTCATTTTACTTTATTCCTATGTAATCGTCCAATTTATAAGAGCATAAGTACAATAGTAATCGTCGAAGCAATTAAACCGTTATACTTGAACCCATATAAACCCGGTAGTCCAGTGAAATCACGAGGGATCTCAAACAAACCAACATACAAACCAAGATCGTATATGATTCAACATAACCAGTCATATGTTACATCACAGTTCACAAATAGTTCATAGTTTTCTCACATACATCGGAGTTTACATAGTTATTACAAACCAAGTTTAAATAGCGGAAGCAAAGTAGTTTAACATCAACATCACACGTAGTTCAAATACATGCCAGTGCTCTGGTCATTCCAGCAAAAGCAGAACAAAGGGGATAACTCAGGAGTACCATACCCTATGGTTTAGTCCTCATCCACGGCAGGATGAAGGCAGTTCTTACAGTACCCACGGTATATCATGTCATCTGCAACAAGAGAGAATAAACTCTGAGTACGAGAATGTACTCAGCTAGACTTACCCGTCATAAACCAGAAATAATATGACGCCAAGAGTATGCGATGCTTTATCAGTGGAGTTAGCTTGACAATATTTTGTATAAAAGCTTAAGTACCATAACTTGGAGATTTAATATCTCTAGATCAATTTGAATACCTATTCAATTAAGCATCTCTAGATTAGCACCTATACTAAAGCAATCACTTGATTAAGCTAACAAGCATTAGTAACCATATCCGGTTATAAGAATAATTTGAGCATCATCATAACCATCCAGTATCTATTAAGTTACTCTACGTTGCGGCTGCTTAGTCAAGTTCTTACTATCCGGGAGAGACGGCGATTCGAATCGATTCCTACCCAGCTGGAGAATTATTACTAACACAAACCCATACTTCTCCCGTCGAGGTCGCATCGGGTCACCTTTGGTACAACTCAGGAACCAACTTCGCGGGTCCGATCAGTGCCGCACCCTCAGAGATTCTACCAATCTGCCAGGAAGATCGGGACTCGAACCCGCCCTTGGACTTACGTCATTGGCTCTCCGCACATCCTTACTGCCTCTAGTGTGCGCACTTTCACTTATCGGGGCCCGGCTTGAATTGAGCTACCCGGCTTCACGGTAGGAATGTCTTATCCGGACAACTAAGTGCTAGGTATGCGTTCAACATGACATGAGGACGTACAACGAATCGGTCCTCAACCGACATAGACAGGGATAAATAGGCACCAAGACCTCCATGCCTTGTGCTTCTTTATCACGATTCCGTCCGGTCTCCTTTTTATTCATCAACACATGGTTATCTATCTATATGTTTCAGGTGACAGGAAATCACCTGAGTTCTACCGGACTAAGCAAGGCTAAGCATCAATTCGATCCTGGTCCTACCAAGGATTCAAGATATATTTATCTAGATAAGGATAATATATGCAGCAAGTGGTTCCAATCAACTCTTATAACCTAATGCATCAAACATAAAGGACACAAGTGATATTTGTAAAAACATAGAAGGCTTATAATGCTCCGGAGCTTGCCTTTCAAGAACGAGAAAGGTTGGTGGTCAGGACACTCAGGGAGATCTTCTACGTTGACTCCTCCTTCTACCTGAACTTCCTGTTCCTGGGCTGCCTGCTCCTCCTCCTGATGCTCAGGTTCAAACTCGAGAAGCGTTACTCCTTCCGGGGAACCTATTGCATGCATATGCACAAATGAGTACCATGAATGTATAAGAGATGAGATGATATGATAAATTATGTATGCATGAGCATGGTTATCCACAAGGTATATGATAAGTTTAACACTCGTTAACCAAGTAGATGCATAACTTTCTTTTAGTTAATTTTTACTGAGTAGGTGCATATCTCTCCTATAATACAAGAAATATACACTCACCAAGTTCTAACAATCTAAGGTAAAGTTATTCATCATCAGTAAGAGGCCTAGAACCTGTAGCTAACAACTAATCTCAATTAGCCTAAGCATCTACACAAGCACCACATAAAACAAAAAACTATAATTGACTTAGTCATTTCCTGTTGTAAACAGCAGCTACATAATTTTGTTATATACGAAGTTCTACTCAACCAAATACTATGATCTTGGACTTTTTGGAAATCTTATAAAACTTCCTACAACTTTCATTTAATCACCAAAAGGTGATTCAACCATTATCCTAGTCAAAATAGGTCAACTTACCAGGTTTGTCCAGAATTTCTAGAGAATAATCACTTCTAGAGACCAACTTCTAACAGCTATAACTCTTAAACCATTTAGCATATTACCATGAAAATTTGACACAAGAAAGATAAGTAAGTTATCTACAACTTTGTTATTGACAATATTCATAGCAAACATCGTTTTACCCATGCAATTTACTTCACAATCGAAATTGTCCAAACGGTCACTAAAATTGAATTATTGAGCAATTAATATTTCACTGCATATAAGCAATCAAATTTGGGCACAACCAATGGTACCAACAGTTCATAGGCATTATATACACACTAGAAAACATGATAGTCAAGCCCAAGTAATTTATTTAAATGCATTTATCAATTTATTTGGACATTAAAGTGAAATAAGGAAAATATATTAAAGGTGCACCATAAATTCTGATAACATTACAACAGCCTACTTATGCTCCCAGAAGGCTACTATATAAATTTCATAGCATTTGAACAAGTACAACATCCTACATAAAAATGACAAGGTAGCAGGGCTTAAAGTAGCAAAAATAGGAAATTCTATTGAAAGGTGTCAAACAACAGAATTTATTTTTTTAGCTTCATCATAGCACAAGAACACTGTGCAATAAATTTCATGCTCAATCGATACATGTTTTTACCATAAAAAATAGCACAAAAATCTAGCATTTATTCAAGATAAATAGCAAACTTCTATTTCTAGCAATGTCACTATGTAACCAATATTCTTTCTAGGTAGTACATGATAAGACAAGACCAACAAAATTGGAATCACATTTTTATCACTTTCCTACCTCAAGTTATGAATTTTACAAGATTGAAAACGTTTAAAAAGCATTTATCTAGCTACATTTTATTCTCCTAGAAAAATACTAGAAATAGTGTATTTCATATTTTTATCAAATACTACACTTCATGAGGAATCTAACAAAATTTGGTTCACTCAATTTGGACACCTATAGCTCCAGATATGATTTTCCAGAGTTAGCACAAAATTCTAGAAAAGAATAAAACAAAATCCTAAAGCTACAGCCGCTGACGCGTGGGACCCAGAGGTCAGCGGGCTCCATTTGTCAGTCAAACAGAGGCAGCGCATGGTTGTTGATCGGCCACTGTTCATCGGCGGGGAAGCCACCGGCGGCGAGGTCACCACCGCTGCACTCCCCGTGACCTCCCGCGCCTAGGGGTACCCTCAGTTTGGTCGGAGGTCCACCGGAGCATGCTCGCCGGCAGAGGGTGCGCGGCGGTACGCCGGCCACCATTTGCTCTGGTGATGAGCTCCATGGCTCCGTGGTGCTTCAACGAATCTAGTTAGGGTGGTTAGGGATCTGGCGATGCGACGGTGAGCTCTGACCGCGTGCATGCCGCTGCGGCGGCGAACAGAGCACTGTGGCGCTCTCGATGTTCCAGCAACACGGCGGTGAGAGACGGGTCTCCGTCATGCCATTAGCTAGGGTTAGGTCTACTCTACCTAAGGCGCGCTAGAGAGGAGGAAGGTGATAGGCCAGCTCGGCAGCGGCAAGCTTGCCAATCACGGTGGCCATGGCGGCCACGGAGGGAGCGGCGGCGCGTTCCGGCGCAACCCGGCGGTAGCATCTAAAAAGGACGGTGGGTTAAGCTCCTAGGACCTATGGCGAAGACCAGAGGAGGGATAGAAGGCGCGAAGGTGCATGCATTGTGGCTGGCCACGGCGAGCTCGCGCTCGGCGGCGCACCTCG